GTCAAAGGAAGGGTGTTTTATGAATGAGCAGCCGACCTTCTTCCATAGAAATGAGCGATGCCGTATCTATCGCTTTTTAAGCAGTTTCCAACAGAAAAAAATTGTAATAAAAATAATAAAACTAAAATTAAACATAAAGCTATGAAAAATAAAATTTACCGAATCTATTTTTGCGAGAATTATTATATATCTGAATTTTGAATAGGATAAGTACGATATTATTTGAGTTTTATCAATCGTTTTTCCTGCTTATTAAATAAATTTCAAAAATTTTTTTTTAAATTTAAAGTATTGAAGTATATTAAAGTTTATATTTTAGCTGCGAGCGTTGATTGCACACCTTTTATTACTTCTCTGGATTTATGCACAAATCCGCAAACGGCAGCGGCAGCACTGGAAAGGTGCCCTAATAGGTGTGGGGTATGCAACAGACCAGACCTTGTCACGAACTGTGCCCAGTTATTACTTCTTTTGATATGCACAAATCCATACATGCAAGCGAATTGCATGAGATCATGCAATATTACGACTTGTATATCTAAATTTTTTATGCTTTTAATTTTCTTCTAATTTTTTTCTTTTAAATTAGTGATTAATGATTATTATAAGTGGACTTGTTAAAATACGAAACAACAGAGGGAGGGTCATTATCATGCATGGACAGTCGAGCCAATTGTGCGCAAATGTCACCGTTTTGCAATGTATCACCATATTCTTATGAGCGAGCAGTGTAGAAGAACCTGTGGCATATGCCGTTAAATATTTTTTTTTATGATTCAATCATCGGAATAATCGTCAAAATTTCTGGGATTTTTCAGCATAATTTAGTTTAAGAAAATTGTTTTAATTTATTCATCAATTTTTGCTTTTTCTTTCATTTTTCGCCCATTTTTCTATTATTTTTCTTCTTTTTTCTTCTTTTGTCTTTTTTTGTTTTTTTCCGATTTTTTTTTTTGAATAAAATTATTCAATGCAAATCGTATAAAGATTCACAAATTAATATTTTAATTAATATTGTCCTCTATTCCGATGATTCTGCACCATCTAAACCATCTAAGCCTAAGACTATGCCATGGCCTAAGCCTTGGCCCTAGCCAAATTTTATAAACGGACAATAAATAAACCGAAATATATAAATATATAATTTTACAATTCACTAAAACATTCTAAAAAATTATCAATTGAAAAATTAACAGCTATTAATAGAAATTAACAGCAATTAACAGCTGCAAAGATGAAAGAAAATTTTGAATTAATGTAAAATATTCATCAAAACTGTCTGTAAAGCGAGCCAAACCAGAAATAGTGAATGCCATTAATCTAGTAAGAAAGAAAAACAATAGGTCCAACTCAAATAATATCGTACTTATCCTATTCAAAATTCAGATATACAATAATTCTCGCAAAAATAGATCCATTAAATTTTTTTTTTCACGATTTTGCTTTCATTATATTACTTTTATCTATAGATGGTAGGAAATTGCTCGGAAAGCGATAGAAACGACATCCTAGAATG